TGGTATTTGTCTTTCAACACCTGGCCTATTTCACTCAGCATAATGCTTTCCAGTTCCATCCATGTTGTTGCAAAAGGTAGTAGCTCCTTCTTTCTCTCTGCAGCATAGAATTCCCTTGTGTATATGTACCACAATTTTTTGATCCATTCATTTACTGATGGGCACCTAGGTTGCTTCCATTGCAGACTGGTACAACCATTATGGAAAACAGTATGGAATTTTCTCAGAAAAATAAAAATCAACCTGCCTTTCGACCCAGCAATTCCACTGCTGGGATTATATTCTAAGAATCCTAAAACATCAGTATCAAAGAACCTATGCACCACAATGTTCATAGCAGCACAATTTACAATAGAATAAACTTTTAAAGGTACTTTTAGTGGTAGAATTAAGCACATCTTTCATAAATAGGCTCATTCTGAGTACACATACATTGGTTAAAATGCAAACCTGTTAAAGTGCCTTTTAAAATTCTTGTAAAAATTCCAAGGGTCTCCTTTTAAGGAGAAAAAGACATTTAAGATGAAAGAAAAGGACCAGAGCAGTACTGTCAGTCACTGGCTAACACACCTCTGTATGGATGAGCATCCTATGGTGTCTCATCATGTCACAAATGATCCTTGGGGCATATATTTGCTCTGATAAGTACCAGACCAATTTTCTTTGTTAAATTATTTTTCCAGTATACCAAAATCAAATGAATCTATCTATTTTTTGTAAAAGTTTTCTCTCAGGGTCACTTCTTTGTATAGAATAAAGTGAAGGAAATGCAAAGACACTCCATTTCTCTTGAGTCCTCTGAATTATGAAACAACATTTAGCTTAGTTAATGTGACAGTACCTCTGTGGCATGGATGATGGGATATCTGAAGTCAGGAATCCTTAAGAATTAAGTCTTTAGGGGCACGGGACAAAGGCAGAGGGTTCTACTTGCTCTTCCATATTGCTTTTCATTGTTTTCCAAAGTAAGAAATTTTTTACAGGACCATTAAGCCACACACATGCAAATAAAAAAAAAGGACAAATTATTTTCCTTTTCTAAATTACATACTGACCTATGAGTTGTAAGCAGAGATTTTTTCTATTTTTTTCCTTCCTGATTTTTGGAATATCAATGTGAGAGTTAGAACTAGAACAGAAAACTTAGTCCAAGAGGCAACTTTGGGAATGGAGACTATGCAACGTGGATCAAAAAGTGCAAGGAGTCAGGATTTATGGCAACAGAGACCACCACACCAATTCCAAATTACCTCCTCCAATGTCACAAGAGAGAGAAAGGAACTCTATTTAATATGAGACACTTATTTGGGACTTCTGTCCCTTGCAGCTCACCCATACACACATTCACACACACTCAAACATGCACATGCACACACATAAATGCATAGAAAAGTTCAAATTTATTTGGAAACTTTTATTATGTTTGGATTCTTTCAAAATCAATTGATTTTTTGAAATAAGCAATAGTCATTATTATACAAAATAATGATATTGGACACTTGAGTTCTTTATTAAATGATGTATTCAATGACTCAGCCTCACAAAATTTAATTCTCACATATAACTTCCTATGATGAGTGTACTATTCCATTACTATGTTTTTTGTTAATTAGGAGGAGCTCACCATTGTGCCATGATAGAATAGTCCTTCATAGAAGCTGCTTTCATTAAATTGGTTTCTCATTTATTTTAATGATGTATATTCATGTAAAAACCAATAGTCTTGGGATACAGTAAATACATTTTAACTAAAGTATTGTCTCTGAGCATTATGTTGTACATAGTCTTTTTTGGAGAATAAATTCTTTCTATTTTTGATCACATGGCTTTTCATTTCTGCATTTCTGCTTTAACCCAGCATTGCATATTTATACAAAAGTTGTTTAGGTATTGTAGGAATTCATAGTCCAAGAACTTTCATGGAAGTACAAAGGAAGAAGAAATACCAAAGTGACTTTTTATCTTACATCAACTCTATCCTTAGAAGTCTTTATCTAAATCAGGGAGTATTAATTCACAAAACATGAGCAAGGGAGAGTGCAGAATCAGAGATAATGACAGACCCAAAATTATTTCTGTCTTTAGATAATCAGAATATTTATTTACCAATCCTATAACATGACTCTATTGGACCATGATTCACATATAAAAGTTAGGTATGTATTGGTTGTCAGAGCAAATAATGCCTTGTGTCTCTTATCACTATATATAAAAAAGTAGCCTCATGTGGCCTTAAAGCTTAACAGTTCTTTTCATTCTACTCTAGGCAAAGTAATACAAGCTCTTTTTTACCAGGAATCGGTCTCAATCAGAAAGCCATATGACTACAGCAGCAAATATCTGAGAAATGAGAGTAGAGAGATACTATATCTAGAATAATTTCTACTTTCACATCTGCACATCCCTGCACCCAGTTCTGGGCAAACACCCTTAGCAACTTTTGGCACGGATAGTTCTATTGTTGAGTGACAGAACAAGCCATATATCATGGCTGTGTGAATCTCTTGCACTTTCACCCAGCATCAAACTGAACACGTAGCAACAGTGACCCATGTCTAATAATTATGCGGGTATGAAAGTCACCATTCCAATTGGAGTTCAGGCAAAATAATTATTACTAATCTGAAAATTTTCACATCATTTTCCTGTTATATTTTATATTATGGCCTTCACAAGACCTCTGGCATTACTTTTTCTGTGATTTGTTTCTATGCTGTGACTGAGAGGCAAGTTGCCCCCTTCTGCTTTAAAAAACAAAACAAAACAAAACAAAACAAAACAAAACAAAACAGTTCTTGTCACAACTTGTTTTTGCCTCAGAATAGTTCATATCAGAGTCAATTCCTATTGACAGCCTAAGATGTCAGAAAGCCCCTTCCTTATCCTGTTAATGTGTATAATTTTCTTTCTACCCACACAACCCACCTGGAAAATCCATAGATTTAGATATCATAGGTCCATCAAGGACAAAATACTTTTACCCTTCTCTAAGGATAACATATATAGAAGAACAGAAAATGTTCCATGTACTAGAGAAAGGAGAGAACTGACTTCCTTTCTGAGCAGCTTTGGGCTTTACAATACAATCATTTTGTTTTATTTCCTTGAAGTCTATCTATTTTATTAGAATTAGAAAATTGTGATTTAGTGTTTTAAACCACTGAACAAGGGTTTCTTGTGAATAGAGTATTGTCAGGTTTTACAAATGTAAGAGAATCATGGCAAATGATGTCTCTCCCTTACACACACACACACACACACACACACACACACAGAATCTGGGCCACTTACTGAGTGGCTGAGGGGGATGGGCAGGGCCTGGACCTGTTTCCAGGCAGTGTAAAAGGTGTTTTACCAAGAGCTGCTTCAGGAGCTTTTAGGAGCTAAGCAACTGAATTCTTAGTGACAGCATTTTTCTTAGTGAAGGTTTTTCACAATTCTCTGAATACCTGGACATATTACCACTGAATTACCAACTTACTCTTCCAGATTATGTACAATATTGCATTCAACACTACCTTGCATACCTCTGCTACCTTCACATTTCACTTTATGTTATAATAGCTTACTGATTTGGTGACACTTCCTTGTACTACTTTTCCAACTGTGGTTTTATAAATAAGATTTACTTAATAAGCATAATATGATTTCAAAGACATTTTAGGTCATCTCTCAGGAAAACTGACATAAATTCTGTGCTGAGTTCATAGTTCTATGTTCAATTAATTTCTCCCTATATATATAGACACAGCTGAAAATACACCTTCAAGAGGTTGCCATCCTACTTAAAAGACATGTAAGAATGAACTTGTAACTTTATTATTTCTCATAGTACACTAAAGATATGAGAAGAGAGATAGGAACTAGATGTGGTTGACTTTGAAAAATTTCCTACAGACCATCTGTGAAATAACTTACATAATATTTTAAAAACCTTTCATGAAAGTCTGAATAGCTATTTGTCAAATTGAATAATATTAATATTTGATTTATAATGAATTGGCTAGACAATGCAAACTTTCACAGAATCATAAAGATGTTGAGTGAAGGCTTTTCTAAATATTAGCATGTTTAACAGATTTATGCATAGAATTATTACAAGTCCAATTAGAAGATTTTCAAAATACAATTTATACCTTGAATCTTTCACAAATATCTTTGTATCAGTAGACCTGTATAAGTATTATAAACTTATAAAATAATAGTTAGAAGGCATTCAAATTATTTTATTCTCAATTCATGAATTTTTATTTCTTTCTCTTTTATAAAGATTCATACTAGAAGATATATGAACCCGCTTTTTCTCTAAACATCAAAATAAAAACAAAACCAATATACAAAACAAAACCAAAAAAAAAAAACAAAGTAATTGAATCTGAATTGCCCTCTTATGTGGTAACTATTCTGTTACTTTAGTCAAATTCTAGGGTACTTCCAACTTCTTGGGAGCATAGGAGAACTCTTTGCAATATGTAGTGATTCTTCAAAAATCACAGGCATGCATTTGGTGTTGAGTGGTTTTGTTTGTAATTTACTATACTATATTTTGTTCATTCTGAATGAAATACATTTTCAATTCAAAAAATTTTAATTCTATATATAAGTGCCATTGTATTGGTTTTCAATTACATGAATAAATATTTCTAAAAATGGGAAGTTACACAGTTTCCAAATTTATATGCAAGCCCTTTAAGAACTTCTGATGGCAGAATCAAATCAAAGGCACATGGTAAGTGTGGTGACAATCCTTGTTCTGTATTAAACCCACTCATGGAGCTGATAAAAATACAGATGCCCTTGCCCCAGTCACCCAGAAAGCTTCATTTGGTTCTTTGAGGTTTGGACCGTAGCACTTCTAGTTTTTAATAACTCCTTCAATGAGTCACATTGCATAAGGCAATTATAACAGGGTTCCCACAAGTTCCAAAAAGTCCCACTGATGGTGAAGATGAAAACATCCATATCTGAGTGGGTTGTAACACCATCTCCAAATACTGTACCTGGGTGGTGGCTGTTGAAGTAGTACTGCTTCTTGATCCCCACATTTGTTGAAACTGTACCCTGATTTCTGCAAATGTTTCAATGATTACAGCGATAAACACATTCTGAAAAAAATTACAAACCACATTTACTAAAGACTGGGAATGAGAGAAGGCAATCAAAGACAGACAAAAATTTGCAGAAACTGCCAGAAAACACTGATTTTATTAGGATAAATTTTTACAATACCTTAACAAGCCACGCAAGGAAGAATATGAGAGTGATGAAGTAGAAGTAGGAACGCCAGCGGGGAAAGCTGTCAATTGCTCTGTACATGAGGAAGACCCAGCCTTCCTGGGAAGCAGCCTCATAAACTGTGAAGATGCTGGTGCCTACCAAGAAAGAGAAGAGTGGACTGAATTATGGTAGCAGACTGAATGACATCAAAATCTCATTCAGAAAAACAATCAATATGAATCCATGCTTGTTTTCTCAATGGCAAAATCTCTTCTAAAAGGACTGAAATAACATGGAAAATTTTATTGTTCTTATTCTTAGGATTCTAAAAAAGTTGTTTCTGATTTCCAGCTAGGACAATTTTAATCTCTAACAATAAAATACCTTTATGTCATATCCTTAGCTATTAAGTGCATTTAATGATGTGGAAAAAGAAATAAACATTCAAACCAAGTAATGTTACAATAAAAAGGCATGTATACTATGTAAGCTTGCCACTTGGGGCTTAACACTTGCCATGTGCTGAAGAACATATGCTATAAGTTTAACTAAAATGAAATAAATCTGGAAACTGAGTTTCATTTGAGATCACTTTGTCATTGGGAAACTAAGTAACTTAGGCTCCAACAGTTCAAATGCTGGAGCCTGTATTTGGATTCCATGGTGATTACTAAACACCAAATATAAAGTACTAAGTCATCAAATGGTATTTTGTATTTTATGAGACAATTGTCTCATTGAAAATACTACTTAAAATGGAAAGAAAAAATGAACAACGTGTGGGCAGATTTTTGAGCAAATGGTTAAGAGAACCTAAAATGTCATTCAGGGGAATGACAGTGTTTATAAATTTTAACGATAATATGAAGCACGTTATTGATTCCCCACTTTACAGATGGGAAAACTAAAGCACAAAAAAGTAAGTAATTTGTCTAAGGATTTACTGATAATAATAGGTGAATTAGAATTAACCCAGTCTTTCTGAAATAAAGGAATACATAATTAACTGTGATGATATCCTGCCTCCTGACATCCTTTCTATGGTTTAGTTTTCCCATTTGTAAAATAGGCAAACAATAATAATACTTTCAGTGTTGCAAAGATTAAATGATTACATTTCTTTAAAGGGTTGGCATATGGTGTATACTTAGTAAATTTTGGTGCTATTATTATAAACTTGAAGGTGATTGTTTAATATTACTTTGTGAGAAAACAAAAAGTAATTCTGAATTAAAGTTGTTTATAAGAAAAATGATATATATTGTTACTGAAAGAACTGGTAAAATTGGTATCACAATAAATTCCACTGCTATAAATGTGTTAAACTATTATAGGACATAAAACCAATATCCACTTCTGGTCAAGATGGAGGTGTAGGCAGACATGCTTCGCCTCCTTACACAACCACAAAAAGAAATTACACCTAAATCTCAAAACAACACCCAGAACTGTCAGAAAATCAAATTGTATGAAAGTCTGACAAACAAAGATTTAAAAAGCCACATTTATTCAGACAGGCATCTTTTATAGGGAGTCAAAGCAGCTCTACCTAACACACAGACAAACACAGGGAAACTGCCAAATTGAGAAGACAAAGAAATCTGCCCCAAATGAAAGAACAGAACAAAATTCCAGAGGAAAAAAACTAAACAAAATAGAGATAGCCAACCTATCAGATGCAAAGTTCAAAACATTGATGATCAGGATGCTGAAAAACTCATGAAGTATGGCAACAGCATGAAGAAAGAAATGAAGGTTACACTAAGTGAAATTTAAAAAATATAAAATAGTGAAGGGAAGGAAGGTAGGACTCAAATTAACAAATTGGAACATAAGAAAAAAATAAACATTCAACTAGAAAAGGAAGAAGAAAAAAGAATTGAAAAACAAGGATAGTATAAGAAGACTCTGGGGAATCTCCAAATGTGCCAAAATCCAAATCATAGGAGAAGAGGAAGAACATGCCAGAAAAAGAAGAGGAAGAACAAGAAACTGAAAACATATTTAGAAAAATAATGAAAAAAATAACTTCTTTAATTTGGCCAAGGAAATAGACATACAAGTCCAGGAAGCCAAGAGAGTCTCAAACAAGTTGGACCCAAAAAGGACCATACCAAGACACATAATTAAAATGCCAAAGGTTAAAGATAAAAGGATAATCTTAAAAGCAGCAAGAAAAAAGCAGAGAGTTACCCATAAAAAGAACTACCCATAAATACTGTAAGCTGATTTGTGAAAACAAACTTTGTAGGCAGGAAGGGACTGGCAAAAAGTATTGAAAGTGGTAAGAAGCCAGGGTCTTTTGAAATGGTGTTTCAGGATTCTTAGGGTATAATCCCAGCAGTGGAATTGCTGGGTCAAAAGGCAGCCATTTTTAGTTTTCTGAAGAAATTCTATGCTTTTTTCTAAATAACAAAACAAATAATCAAGCAAAATATAAACAGAGACATGGAAATAAAGAACAAACTGACAGTAACCAGAGGGGGGAGGGGAGGGGGAAAACCAGGTAAAGAAGGGGAAGGGTCATTAAGGAATATTTATAAAGGACCCCTGGACAAAGACTATAATGGTGGGGAGGATTGAATGTAGAAGGTGGGGGTGGGTAGGGTGGGGGAGAGTAATGGGTATAAAATGGGGACAATTGTAATTGAACAACAATAAATAAAGTAAAATAAAATAAAGAGCAAGGGCCTACAACCTAAATTACTCTGTCCAGCAAAGGTATCATTTAGAATGTAAAGGCAAATAAAGTGTTTCCCAGACAAGACAAAGCTAAAGGAGTTCATCACCACCAGGCCATTATTACATCAAATGTTAAACAGAACTATTTAAGAAAAAGAAGAATCAGGACTTCCGCCAAAATGGAAGCATAGGTGGATACGCTGTGCTTTCTCACACAACCAAGTTTAGAGACAACTAAATATTAGCAACAGAAAATGTAGCCAGAACACAGAAAATTGAACTTTTCGGAAGTCTGATAACAACAAATTCTTCAGCTTGACCGGTAAGAGGGGCGAAGCCAGCAGCTGGTGGAGTGGGGTTGCACAGGAAAACTCAGTCAGATGGACTCAGGTGCACGGAATCCAGGTGCAGGGTTGGACCTAGTGAGAGACACAGTGAGCAACCTCGGGGAACCAGCAAGGGAGCAGGTCTGCAGGTTGACTGTGGTCGCACATTCCTGCGCAGATAGACAAGTGAGGGAGTGGGCAATTGGACAGACCCAGCAGCCCCAGCAGCAAGAAGTGGAGGAAGGCACCACCATTTCTCCACTCTAACCCCGCCTCCACATACAGTATCATAATCCAGCGACCTAAGTGGCCCTGTCCCGGTGAACAGCCTAAGGCTCTGTCTTCACCCAGCTGCGAGAAACAGCAGAGGGCACCGCCATTTTCCCGCTCTGACCACTCCCCCACATAAGCGTCACAACCCAGTGACCTGGGAGTCCAAGGAGCCGATCCTCGTACTTAACGGGCTCGAACAGACCAAAAATGTCTCCAGAAGATCTCAAAGCCCCAGAGCCTATAAATCTAAGTGATGAAGAAATAGCAAAACTCTCAGACGCACAGTTTAAAACACTGGTGATCAGGATCCTCACAGAACTGGTTGATTATAGCCACAAATTAGACAAACATGAAGGTGAAACTAATTGAAATGAATGGAATTGCACAGGAAACCAATAGCGATGAAAAGGAAACTGGGACTCAAATCAATGGATTGGACCAGAAGAAAGCAAATAATGGCCAAACAGAAAAGAGTGAAGAAGTAAGAATTCAAAAAAAATGAGTAGAGTCTTAGGAACCTCTAGGACATCTTTAAATGCTCCAACATCCGAATTATAGGGGCACCAGAAAGGGGAAAGGCACAGCCACCAGTGGAAAACTTATTTGAACAAATAATAAAGGAGAATTTCCCCAATCTGGCAAAGAAAATAGACTTCCAGGAAATCCAGGAAGCTCAGAGAGTCCCAAAGAAGTTGGACCCAAGAAGGAACACACCAAGGCACATCATCATTACATTAGCCAAGATTAAAATGAAGGAGAGAATCCTAGAAGCAGCAAGAGCTAAGGGGACAGTCACCTACAAAGGAGTTCCCATCAGACTGTCAGCTGATTTCTCAAAAGAGACCTTACAGGCAAGAAGGGGCTGGAAAGAGGTATTCCAAGTCATTAAATCCAAAGACCTATAACCAAGATTGCTCTATCCAGCAAAACTTTCATTTAGAATGGAAGGGCAGATAAAGTGCTTCTCAGATAAGATCAAATTCAAGGATTTCATCATCACCAAGCCCTTATTATATGAAATGTTAAAGGGACTTATCTAAGAAAAAGAAGTTAAAAAAACATGAACAGTGAAAAGACAGCAAACTCACAGTTATTAACAACCACACCGAAAACAAAAGCAAACTAAAAGGACAGCTAGATCAGGATTGGAAACATAGAAAGGAAGATCCCAAGGAGGGTTAGCAGCAGGGGAGTGGGAGAAGGAGAAGGGGAAAGAAGGTACAGAAAATAAGTAGCATAGACAGTAGGTAGAAAATAGATGGGGGGGGGCAAGAATAGTATGGGAAATATAGAATCTAAAGAACTTGAGATACAGGGTCATAAACTAAAGTGGGTGTAATGGTGGGGATGGGGGGTAGGGTGGAGGGGAATGAAGGGGGGAATAGAACAACTGTAATGGCATAATCAATAAAAAACTGAAAAAAATAGAGGGAAGGGTAAGAATAGTAGGGGTAATATAGAATCTAGAGAACTGGAGACACGTGTTCATGAACTAAAGGAGGGGGAATGGTGAGAGAGGAGAGTGCAGGGTGGAAGGGAATGAAGGGGGAGGAAATAGAACAAATATAATGGCCTAATCAATAAAATAAAAATATATATTAAAAAAAGAAAAAGAAAACGAAAAATCAAAACCATGAACATTAAAAAGGCAACAAATTTACAGCTATTAAGAACTAAATCTAAAAAAAAGAAAACCAAAACCCCAAAACAAAAAACTAAGTACAGGAACAAAAAACAACCAGAACAGGAAAAGAATCATAAGTATGGAGATCATTTGGAGGATTATCAGCCGAGAAGGGGAAGGAGAAGAATGGGGAAAAGGTGCAGGGATTAAGAAGCATAATTGGTAGGTATAAAATAGACAGAGGGATGTT